TGGCTCTGGCTCTGCGGCAGCGGCACGACGACGTCCGTCGTGCCGTTGCAGATGGCGTGGAGCTTGGCGTCGACCGCGGCGTGGAGCGGCGGGCCGAGGTGCTGGCCGCCGCGCCTGAGCTCGGGGAAGTTGAGCCTGGCGGAGTCCCCGCGGAGGCGGAACGCGGCGCTGTCGTAGGCGAGCGCGGCCTCCTCGGCGGTGTCGAAGGTGCCGAGCCAGAGGCGGGTGCGGTTGCGCGGCAGGCGGATCTCCGCCACCCACTTCCCCCAGTGCCGCTGCCGGACGCCGCGGTACAGCTTGGACACCGCGGGCCGTGCGGGGAGCGGTGCCGGCGCCTGCGCCTGCGGCACGCCCTGCCGCTTCATCTGCTGCGTGGCCAGCGTGGTGCCGCTCGCCGCCGGCCGGCGCAGGAACTGGAGCCGCGACTGCACCTGGAGAATCTGTGCCGGGGTCAGCAGGCCACTACCGCCGCCGGCGCCCAGAAACGGGCCCGCCGTGCTCTGCTGCTCCACGCCGGAGCAGGGGTACGCGAACGAGATGGTCGGGGCCACCTGTTGCATGGGCGGAGCAAGCGCGCGCACCAGCTCCTTGCTGTCCGCCACGCCATACAAGGCGGCGGGAAGCGCGTCGTTGCGCCCGTGCCAATCTATCGTCGTAGCCGCCATGGATTCTTGCACGAGACAGAAGAGAGGGAAGGAGAGAATCTAGAGAGGGAGATCTCGAGAGCGAGCGTAAACAATTCGCGGGTCGCAGCGCAGAGATTGAAGGGTGAAGCGAGCAGTTCGATGAGCAAGAGCAGCCGTTGCGGGGGCTCTTTTATAAGCGAGGAGGGAGCTGGTTTCGGCCAATGGGACAGCGCCAGGTGTCCGCGCTCGTCCCCCGCCCGACACGTGTCTAGATCATTCACCGCGCGGGACATGCGTGCCCAGGCAGGCGCCGGTAAACGGTGGGTACCTGGCAGCCCCCGGTTGGCTGAGAAGCGGTCTGACCTGGCAAGATGATAGAGATCTACTCGTACTCCTAGCTGTCACATGCCTGTCGGAGCGAGTGAGTCGTCGGGGTGTCGTAGGGTTCGAATTCTAATAAAAAAATAAATTATAGAATGTGTCAGTAATCTACTAGACTAATTTATTAAATCTAATTAATTTATTATTAGCATATGCGTTAATGTAGCATTACGTTGTCAAACCGTGAACTAATTAGATTTAAAAATTTTGTCTTGTAAATTAGTCGTAAACTGTTTTATTAGTTATTTTTTAGTTTATATTTAATACTCAATGCATGTGTCAAATATTCAATAGGATATGAAGTAAACTTTAGGGATTAAATAAACGAGGCCGAGAGTGCTCTACGCGGCAACTTGTATGCTACAGCCTCTGAGTTGATGAGTTTTAAGTATCTCGACGCCTGGATTTTTAAACAATTCTTTTTGCAGCCAATCATCTCTCGGATCCGTTGTGGATTTGCACTAGTTTATTAATGGGAGGGCACGGCGTATCATCTTGTACGAGAATACGACTCCCTCAGTTTTAAATTATAACTCGTTTTGATTTTTTTATATATCTATTTTGCTATGTATCTCTTGTTTTAAATTATAAGTCGCTTTAACTTTTCTGATACATTCACTTTGCTATGTACTATTTAGACACATGACAAAATAAATGTACGAAAAAAATATAAAACGACTTATAATTTAGAACCGAAGAAGTACAGTATACTGAGTACAACAAGGCTTGCACACTCACCACACACAGTATAGTAGTACTATACTAGTAGTAGTCTAGGAGTACACTAGATACGATGTGGTGTAAAGGCAGCCCGAACCCGCCTGATTTGATGCGATAGGGTCATTCTTTTACGATCTTTTTGGTAAGGGCCATTCCGCGATCATGGCCGTGCTCCGGTCACAGTTGATTAGGACGCTGGAGCGGTCTTCTCCGGTCACAGTTTCTGTTCCGGACGAAAGAACGACGCGAAACAACCAACATCCACCAGTGAGAGTGAGTGAGAGAGGCTCGATTGTTGACCAGACAAATAACGGTGGTCGTCACCACATTGCACAGATCCTTTCCCCTTCCTTCCCTCCCTCGGTGCTGCACTGCTGCTGCTGTTCACTTCAGTCAACAACCCCTCGGTGTGTGCTGGTATCCCAAGGGCCAAGGCTGACACGGCCTCTCAAGGAGCAGAGCACGAGCGAGTGCAGCCGCGTTTCGGCGCGGAGAGAAAAGCGGCTTTTGCGTGACTGACCGGCGATGATGGACAGGGACAGGGACAGGGACAGGGACAGGGACAGCGCGCGTGTTCTGGCCGCCGCTGCCATCTTCCTCCTTTCCGATCGATCGACGCCGGGAGAGAGTGGAAATGGAAAGCGGGCAGGGGCAGGCGCGGAGAGGGTTGAAGGCGTCTGCAGCCAGCCAGCCACAGAATCCGCGGGGAATATTGACGTGTCGGACCCTCGGCGGGGAGGGTACAGCCCGAAAGAAAAAAAAAACATCCAGTCGTGAGGGGCTTACACTCTCGGTGGGTCTAGAGTGCCTAACCACAACATCAGCCAGTGGCTGCGAGGGGGTTAGCTTGGCTTGTCTGCGTCTTCAAGCCCCGAATCAAATCTGGCTCCTGTGGTACGATACGATACGATAGGATGGGATGGACAGAGCAGGCACGATACCCTCGACAGTCGACACAATGCAAGACATTCCAGAACACGAGAGATCTTGAGAAGGACTAAAGAAAACGTTTCCGAGCAGACAGGATACCGTTTCCGTGTGGTTTGTTGCAAGGCTACAGCCTACAGGCATGGTAGCCTCGGCAGCACGGCTCATACAGTGCGTGACCTCCCACACAAGACCACGGAGGGAGACACGAAAACATCACCAAATAGTGAAGTGATGCGCCTAGATGAACAGGTACGATAGTAGCCTGAACAGCACGGTTCCTACAGTACACATGAGCTTCAATCACGACCCGAGCCGAGAGATTCGCCAGGCAGTTCAGTGATAAGCTTTTTAGAAAAGGATTATATTAAAGAAACATCTCGAAGCAAGCAGCAGAAGACCACCAACTAAACCACTTCGTTCGTGGCCTCTTTCCAGGAATTAGAAATCACGGTCTAACACTTAGGCCACGGCTAGAACAAGGCCCACTAAGCAACCATCATCTCCTTTCCCCTAATAATAAGAAAAGAATGTGCAAGAACAGAAGCAGAAAGGTGAGCGGTCTGCAACACTTATCAGTTTATTAGTGCCTTGTGCATCCACAAAACGGTCATACAAAGCTGGGTCTGTGTGCTCTAACATCGTATGGTTGCCGTGGAGATAAGTTCTAAAGTATGGGTTAAGAACTATTACGTGCGGATGATAACATTTTAAATGAACTCGTGGCTGCAGCTCCTCAACAAAGATTAGTGGCCATTACGCTGCCCCAAGGGGGGGAAATTAGGACCTAATGACGCAGCAGCCAAACTGGCAACAGGCTAATCATGCACTGCACGTCTGCACGAAATGGTTAGGTCTTCATGCCCTATCAGGAAACATGTGACAAATTTGGTGATGGCATGCAGCTCAGCAACACCTCAGACGATATAACTAAAGTAGTCAACACACTACAAGTAGCATGATAAAAGTTCAGGAGCAAACTGAGTAGTGTGACAAAAAGGACAATTGACCTCCCACCACTTTGCGCATCATTCACTACCGTAGAAACAAGAAAGGAGTCACAAATGGTCCCACATATAGAACCTCAAAAGGCTCAAACTAAAACAACTGTTCGACTACAAAATATAAGTGGTCCAGAGGTAAAGGTTGGACATTTTCCGGTTCATCACCACATGCCGCTCTAGTAAAACAGCCCTCACCCAGCGCCCCCCCCCCCACACACACACACACATGATATTATTATTTCACATGTGAAAATTATGACCAAGAAAAAAATATTCAAGGCAAGGAAACACGGTTCCTAATATAGACATAGAAATACAGTTTCTAAAGACTCTAAGACAGACAATCAGACAAGAGTAGTCTTTGGCAAAGAGGTTTGTCAGAAAAGGACATATAACCTTTTAGCTGAAGAGTGCAAAATGTTTATATACTCTGCATCTAGGATAAGGTTTATAAAAAAAAACTAAGGATAAGGAGTAAGAAACTCAAGATAATTCATAAGACTACGCTGCAACAACCATGACAGGGAGTTCTCACTCTCAATAAGCAAGCAATTTTTCAAGGTTCAGGCCACCATATAAATATGGCAATCCATTATCCTTTAGCTACCAAGTTTTAGTGATTGTGAGTGGATGCCATGAATGTGTTTTGCATCAACAGTAAATTATTCACTTATTCGGACTGATCAGGTCAATATTTGGCTGGAACCAAATTATTTATCTGTGTGCATATTATCTGCCATTTCAATTTGATTAAGTAATGACTCATAGTGAAATGATTCAAGTCAATCAAGCCTTCAAGGACAGAAATGTTCATATTTTAAAAAAAATCTGAAAAATATATTAGCCTAAAAGCACCTAAATAATGGAAGACGACATGTAGATTTTAAATATTTTTCTTACTGAATAAAACTGGCAGAAACTACATGAATAAACAGGATAGTCATCATTCTCAAAGGTCAATCATCAAAAACATAGAAGGGAAACCACGAACATGGTTGAGGATAATAGAAATGGGACAGGAGACGCACAATTCATCCATAAGCTTGTAGACAGATGATGATTCCTCACTTTAAGAAACAGTATATTAATATGCTGATGTGCTCTGATTCTATGCATGTCATTTCAATGTTGCACATTTCAGTTATCATAGTAGAGAAATATACATTCTTGAATAAAATGTCAAAGCTACCAGATTCAGCATATCTAATTTCAACAATGTCATCACCTAATAAACAAATACATTAGTTATATTGGGCTGCAAAAGAAGTGAAACGTTGCAACAGCACATACTGTGATTTCAACAAGGGAGAAAACATTGTCCAAGATGGCCATGCGGTTGAGATTATCTTTCTGCTGCATAATGGGCAAGCTTCAATCTTACCTCTTCAAGCTCAACATCTTCCATATCATCAGTGCTTGACCATGAAGATAAGCAGAAATCAACAACATGAATACCATTGTTTATTGGAGAAAAACCAGCAAAATTGGTAAGTCGTCCAAACTTAAGCATGTTTCCTAGATTTGTGGCAGACGGTTCCTCTGCAAACTTCAGCAGGATGTCTTTCATAGCAGAAGACCAGATAGACCTAGCCATCTTCAAAAAGCAGCACAAAGTTGTAATAGCGAGCTTAACTGTTCCAACGTCAGATTCATCTTTTCCGCCTCTTCCATGGAAATCTGAACCTCCAAGTTTCAGAAGTCCATACTTCTCAGCTAACTCGCTAAATCCTGTAAAAAGAAATTATGTAATGTTATTTAAATATATCATAATGAGTAACGATAAAAATATCCTCTGTTGATAGGACCAATATATTGCTAACAGACAGAGTAAAAGTTTCGTTTGTGGCAGGAGTTCTCCACTCTATCTCAAGTCAGCATGTATTAAGTGTAAGAGACACACACCATCAACTTTTCCATCACTTCTGTAGACCTCCATACCATTAAGACCAGCACCTTTTAAAGACCTGATTATTGCATCCGGGTTCTTCAATGACCAAGGATGAGCAAGTGCAGAAATACCCCCAGTGCGACTAATTAACTGCACAACATTCTCTGCAAATGGTTCACTTCCTCTGCCAGAAAAAAACACAGGCCTTGTGTTATTAACCAAAGATTTTTCAGCATAGGAAATGCCTATTTGGGAAGAAGCAATAACCTGGCATATGCTGGGCCATCATCACCGAGGTATTTGTTGAATGCTTGCCTTACATTCTCTACATAACCCGCTTCAACCATAGCCCTTGCTATATGCAATCGGCCAGGTGCCACTCCATCACCAGCAATTTTAGTCACATGTTCCCACTTTATTGGCACCTTCAGTGTAGTTAGCTTTTGCAGCATGTTCTTTGCGCGTAAGTATCGCCCATCTCTAATGTTCAATAGCACGCTGTCCAACTGATCAGGCCTTGACGGACCACACATACCATAGTATGCAAGGATATGAACAGTCTCACCAGCACCGGCAACTTCCCTTATAGACAATGAAATTGAGAATATAATGAAATTGACATGAAACATCTGTACTCATAGTACAACAGTTAAAATGTTGTTTACAATACCATTTTAGCATAAAGGCAGCGGAGCAATAAAACAAAACTATTGCAGATCTATTGACAATGGAGTACAAATGATAAGATGATTGGCTTATTAAATTAAGTGGCATTGCTGGTTTTTATTCAAAACACAAAGAAAGATCTTTTCGCTGAAAGATAAAAGGCACTTACCTTGGATTATATAGCGCACTGATTTCAACACCAGGAATTATTCTAATGCCAAACTTGGAAGCTGCTGACACAGCTTCTGGTATGCCAGCCATGGTGTCATGATCTGTTAGGGCGAGAACTTTTACCTGTGGCACAAACATCATAGTTTAGTCGCTCCTATATTCATTATTCAGAATCTACAGTATACCCCAACAGGACATAACATTTAAGCAGCAGACGACCATAACAGACTTTAGGAGGTAGATCATGGTATTTAGTGCAGGAAACATTTCATGGGGAAAACACTACAAGGCCTCATTTTTTTAATAGCGATTAGCCAAGAAATGCATGTCGGAAAATGACTGATTCAATCAAATTTAACTAAAATATTTGTTTCCATATTTATTCTATTACCTCTTAGAAGGTAATAAATCACCATATCCATCTAGATCAAAACTAAATGGACGGTGCACAGTTATTTTGGTGTACCATGGCAACATCCATAAAGTATTCATCAGACAAGTGAAACGTTAGAGGTAACAACTACCCTCTGAATTCTCCAGCCACCAGTACAGCACTTGCACATCCTACTAGGAAACAATGATACCATAACCATGTCCCTTATTTGTAATCAGCTACGTACACCGGCAGGTACAACAAAATGTGCAGCATACCAACGCAGTGCTCGGATTAGCTTATATATAGCACCAGAAAAGTACAAAAGTCGATTCCACATGGCACAGCACAACGCCGCCGACTAAACCTGACAAGTATTTCCTCAAACACCTACTGGGCAAACCGACTAGAGGTCAGGTAGATCTTCGTCACTTACCCCGTTGCGATGGGCGCGCTCGACGAGCGCGGAAGGGGAGAGGAACCCGTCGCTGTGGTTTGAGTGCGAGTGGAGCTCAAACAGCACATCGCCCCCGCGCGTAGCCAGGACCGGCAGGAAGTCGTCGGCGTCGGCCACCGAGGGTTCCGGTGGTGGCGGCGCGGGTTGCGCCCAGGCGCGGACGTAGTCTAGGGCCAGGGCCTGGTCGGCGCTGGTTTTGGGCTTCTTCTTGCTCCTGCTCGGCTTCGACTTCTTCTTGTTTCCCATGTCGGGGTTTTGGGAGGGCAGAGGCGCCTTCGCCGGTTCGCCCGCGCCGCGAGGGAGGTTCGGAATTGGGGAAGAGGCCGGACCGGGGCTCTGGTTATCTGCGTTCATGCCATTATAATTTTTTGACGTTTGGAGAAACGTTATTATTATTCGCCTATTTTGATGGATGTCATTATAATTTTTCGTTTTCCACAAATATGCCGTAGAATACGTATGGACACGGCCTGGGTCCAGCTACAGGCGTATACGAAGACATATACTTCACCACAGCCTCTCTCCCTGTCACACGCGGGCCTCACATGTCATCTTCTTCTTCCTTCCCTCCTCATCTTCCCTTGCTGAGCGCGGAGATGGCGATGGCGAGAAGCAGCAGCAGCACGCGGCCAGCGGGCGGTGTGTGGGCGGTAAATGGAGGACGCTTGGCGCCGACGAGCACTGGGCGGGCTCGCAAGCGTGAGGGCGTGCCGCCGCAATGGGCGTCCGGAATGTGGCAGAGGAGCGGGCCGCCGCCGGTGGCGAGGCACGAGCGGTCATGCAGCCATGTCTCGGCGGCGTCGGGGAGAGGCTTGTCTGGAGCTCCCGCCGCCATGGCGCGGTGCAAGGGAGGCCGGGCTCGTGGCGCAAGGGAGAAGCTGCTGCTGCGGGTGTCCGAGGTTGCGAGCGGGAGCAGCGGCACCGGCGGAGAGGCGCGAGCGGCCGCGGACCATGGTTGCCGGCGTCGAGAAGAGGCCTAGCCGGAGCTCCCTCCGGCCTTGGCATCGCGGGAGGCCAGGCTCGCGAGGGCGCGCACGAGCGGCTGCAACGAGCGGTTAGGCTCATGAGCAGGAGCGACGGCGCCGGCAGCTAGGCACGAGGGGCCGCGGGCCATGGCGTCGGTGCAGGAGGTGTTGGACGCTGACGCCATGGTGTGCCCACCCCTGAGAGCAGCAGAAAGGAGAAGAGGATGGGCGTTAGAGGTGAGGCCAAGCAGCGCCATGGGCGACTCTGTACTTGAGTTGTCGGCCGCCATGGACGCCCGCGTCGCGCTTGACTCCGAAAGCAGCGCCACAGATCAACCAACTGCGGCACCGCTCAACCCCGTCCGAGGAGCGCACTCACTGCCTGCTACTCACGTGAGGCCATGCTTTCGTCAGTGCGCCCGCATACCAAATGGACACGTCTCCTATGCCCGCCGACTAGAACTCCATCACCGGGATATGAACACCAAACTGGACTTGGATGTTTTGCTGAACGGCACATAGCTGTGGCCGGGCGAGCGCAAGCGGCTGCTGCGGGCAGGTAGGCTCACGAGCAGGAGCGGCACGCCGACATCGAGGCACGAGCCGCCCAGGCCGCGAGCTTCGCTCGGGCGCGTGCTGCTGTTGCTGCTCGGCCGCGTGCAGCTGCTGCTTCTCGCCATCGCCATCGACGCGCTCAGCAAGGGAAGATGAGGAGGGAAGGAAGAAGAAGATGACATGTGGGGCCCGCGTGTCAGTGACAGGGAGAGAGGCTGTGATGAAGTATACGTCTTCGTATACGCCTGCAGCTGGGCCCAGGCCGTGTCCATACGTATTTTGTGGTATATTTGTGGGAAACAAAAAATTGTAATAGCATACTTCAAAATAGACGAATAGTAATTGTGTTTCTCCAAATATCGAAAATTATAATGGCATGAATCAAATAACCTTCTATTCTTGCCCACCGGGCACGGCCCTGCTGCTTCCGGAATTGCTTGACCCCTGACTACTGCTAGGGAATTGCGTCACGAGGGATTCAAAATTTCGAAATTATTTGTTTGTCTCAAAGTTGATGATTTGAAAGCTGATTGAGATGAATTTAAATTCATCAATGAACTGTATGGGTTTTTCTATGGATAATAATGGTCCTATTGCGGTTAAATTCATCAACAAAATAAAAAAAAATGATATTTTTGCTGCAGCACTCGATGTGCCTCTTTCTTCACGAAAAAATTGATAACAGCAAGTTCACGTGTTCTGTGTTCTCACTTCTCAGTATATCAAAAGCACTTTGAATTTGTGCATTGATATTATATCAGACATGTTGTTTTGTTTGAATTTTAAAGTTTGTATCAGTCTGGCGCAAATTAGTCAATGTAAGAGCATCTCCAATAGATTCTCCGTGTCCTTTCTAAATACTAAGGATAGAGATTTTGATGAAAAGCTACATTCCAACGGCTTTTCTAAATGGTCATCCAAATATAGTCATCTTCTGTTTCGGATTTTTTGCTAGCCAAAAATAGAAGACGAGAATGACTCTCTAGAGTGCGTATGACATATAGAAAAACTGTTGGAGAGTGCAAAGATATAGAAATCGATTTTTATGTAAATGGCGCTCCAAATGATGATTTAGAGAGTGAGATTTAGAAAGGTTCTTGGAGACGCTCTAAGAGAGTGTGTTGTATATGATGGAAAATTGTTTTGGGGAACGTAACTCTAATGTTGTTCTATGTTCTATGATCCATTTGATATATCTTTTCTAAACGTTTTTCCCTTGATTACTCTCGACTTTTCTTGACTTAATTATAGATACACATTTTTTTTCATTGCCATCAAATGTACCAAAAGATTGAAAAAAAATGAAAACACCAACCCATCTTACATCTATATGTTTTTCAATTATGACAGCTTTGAAAGAAAAAACTGACAGAATTCAGCCAACACGGTCATTTTTTAGTTGAAGTAGTGAAGTCTATATGGTAATGGTATATTGGTATTGTTATATTTGTTCTAAATTAAATAGTTCAAGAATATTTAAAAAACAAAATAATAGTAGAAGCACGAACGATAAAATTCAAATTTGTCAGTTAATAAAAAACGGGGATACTGTTAGTAAATAATGCAAATCAAGATCGAACACGAGACACAGATTTTTACGTGGAAAACCCTTGCGGGGAAAAACCACGGGCGCCAACCGGCGATCTTCACTATATGGAGAGAGTTTACAGAACGCAGCGAATACAATGAGTCGTCAGCTCTTCCCGTGCGGCTTACAAGATGTATTTATAGGACGGACTGACTGCAGTCAAATACGGAAACAAATCCGCTAATAAACATGACCAAACCGTGGGCCCTCCAGGCGTCCCCACAAGACCAACGTTATAATTCGGATCATATTCCAACAAACTCCACCTTGAGACGAATTCCATCTTGTAGCAAATGAAGTATCAATCAATCAACTCACTTCAATAATAAACAATCACCGGCGCCAAAAAAATCACTAGGACTTAATTTGTAATGCCAACTAAGCTTGAGCATAGCACAAACTTAGCTCCAGGAACTAGCTTTGTCAACATATCAGCAGGATTATCATGAGTACTTATCTTGCACACCTTAACATCACCTTCAGCAATAACACCTCGAATGAAGTGATACCCCACATCAATATGCTTTGTCCTTTCATGAAACATCTGATCCTTGGTCAGACAAATAGCACTCTGGCTATCACAATGAATAGTAGTGCAAGAAGTAACCCTGCAAAGTTCAGAGTATAGACCTCTCAACCAAATAGCTTCTTTACAAGCTTCAGAAATAGCCATATATTCAAACACATAGTAGATGTGAGCAACGAAGGATCGCAAACATGCTTTCCATTATGAAAGACAACCACCAATGGTGAAAACATAACTGTGAGAGATCTCCTCTTATCCAAATCACCAACAAAATCAGAATCAACATAACCAACAAGTCCATCTCTAGATTTCCCAACCGCAAACAGGCATTAGAAGTACCTCGCAAATATCCGAAAATCCATTGAACGACCCTCCAATGCTCCTTACGAGGATTAGCCATGAATCTACCGACAACACTCAATGCATGAGATAAATCGGGACGAGAACAAACCATGGCATACATAAGAGAACCAATCTGACTTTGGAATATGGAACTCTAGACATGTACTCAATATCTTTATCGACGACTGGACATAAATTTGATGATAATCAAAATGTAAACTAATGGTGTACTCACTAGTTTTGCATTATACATATTGAAACGACAAAGAACCTTCTCAATATAACCTCATTGATCGAGGTATAATTTACTGATTTTCTATCTCTAGTAATTTCCATACCAAGAATTTTCTTATTGCACCCAAGTCCTTCATCTCAAATTCTTTACTCAATTGTGCCTTTAATTTAGCTATTTCTGATTTATCTTTAGCAGCAATCAACATATCATCAACGTAAAGAAGCAAATAAATAGCTGAGCCATTAACAATCTTCAAATAAACACAGCTATCATAATATGACCGCTTAAAACCATGAGAGAGCATAAATGTGTCAAACCTCTTGTACCATTGCCTAGGAGATTACTTCAAACCATAAAGAGACTTCTTTAGTCTACACACAAGGTTTTCTTTTCCAGGAATAACTAAACCTTCAGGTTGGTTCATATAAATGTCTTCTTCCAACTCCCCATGTAAGAATGCAGTTTTAACATCAAGTTGCTCAAGTTCATAATCATGCATGGCAACAATACTAAGCAAAGTACGAATAGAACTATGCTTAACAACTGGGGAAAAGACATCATTATAATCAATACCTGGAATCTGGCTATAGCCCTTAGCAACCAACCTCACTTTATACCTTGCTGGCTCACTAGGAGAAAGACCCTCCTTTCTTTTATAAATCCATTTGCAACGGACAGGCTTTTTGTTCTTGGGCAATTTCACTAAATCCCAAGTACCATTCTTTTCAAGTGACTCCATCTCATCTTGCATAGCGGTCATCCAATTGTTGCAATCAGCAGAAGTAATAGCCTCAGAATAATTAGAAGGTTCTGAATTACCTTCAATCTCTTCTGCAACACTCATAGCATAAGCAACATTGCATTCTTCAATATACCTTTTAATAGGCTTTGGCTGCCTTCTAGACCTATCAGCAGCAATAGAACGTTGTGGAGACTGCACAACTAAAGAAGAATGCTCAGCAATAGAAGAATCATCAACAATTGGAGAAATTTCAGCAATCGGTGCATCTTGGACAATAGCATTATCAACATCTGGTGAATCAATTAAGTGCTCCACCTACACACTTATTTTCTCCCCCTCAATAGGAGCATCAACAGAAGGATTGTCAACAAACATAACAGTTTCATTAAAGATAACATTCCTGCTAAGCATAACCTTCTGAGTCTAGGGATTCCACAATTTATAACCTTTAACACCAGATTGATAACCAATAAAATGCATTTAATGACTCTAGGCTCCAATTTACCATTATCAACGTGAGCATAATAAGACAACCAAAAACTCTCAATTGTGAATAATCAATTTGGAGAACCATACCATACCTCAATTGGAGTTTTCTTATCAAGAGGAATAGAGGGTGAACGATTAATAAGATAACAAGCGATGAAAGCGACTTTCATTTAAAAAACACCTATTCAAGCTGAATTAGACAACATGCAACGGGCCTTGGAGATGATAGTTCTATTCATACGCTCACTACACCATTCTCGTTGAGGCGTATAAGGAATAGTGTAGTGCCTAACAATGCCATGAGACTTGCAATATGCATTAAATTCATTAGAATGTAATTCCATCCCATTATCGGTCATAAGCTTTTAACCTTCTTTTCAGGTTTGATTTTCAATCATAACCTTCCACTCTTTAAATCTTTGAAAATGCTTCGATTTATGCTTCAAGAAATAAGGCCATACCTTACGAGAATAATCATCAATGATTGTCAACATATAACGTGAACCACCAATAGAAGGTCAAGAGATGGTCCCCATAAATCAGAATGCACATAATCAAGAATACCTTTACTTCTATGAGTAGAGGTATTAAATGACACCCTTTTGTGTTTGCCAAACACACAATGCTCACAAAACTTCAACTTGCTGATGTTATGTTCATCAAGAAGTCCTCTCTTGCACAATTCATGCAAGCCTTGCTCACTCATATGTCCAAGACACATATGCCAAAGATTAGTAGCATCAAAATTAGATGATGAATTAGAAATTACAGCTGCATCACCTGTAATTGTAGTACCACGAAGATGGTACAAATTTGGAGATTTCAATTCACTTTTCATAACAATAAGAGAACCTTTGGACACCTTTAAAACTCCATCTCCACCGGAGTACTTGTACCCTTTAGCATCAAGAGTACTGAGAGAAATAAGATTCTTGCTCATGCTTGAAATATGCCTAACGTCAGCCAAAGTTCTGACAATGCCATCATGCATCTTAATTTGAATAGATCCAATGCCAACAATATCAAGTGGAGTGTCATCACCCAATCTAACAGAACCTCCACCTTGGACAGAATCATAGGTGACAAACCAATCTCTATTAATGCATATATGAAAAGAAGCAGCGGAATCAAGAATCCATTCATCATCACTATTTGCACATCCAGCAAAAGCAACAAGCGAATCACCATCAGAATAATCAGCCTTAGAAGCAGCAACAGAAGCATTACCTTCATCACTGGGTTTATTTTTCTCTCTATATGTACCAGTTCTCTTCTCTTTATTCTTCAATTTATAACACTCATCTATAAAGTGATTATCCTTCTTGCAATACTTGCAGAATTTATCTCCCTGCTTGCTTCGAGATTTAGATCGACCTTTGTAATGATGAGAACTTTTGCCTCTATTGCCATTATTTGATTTATTATCTGTCCTCCCACGAACAGACAACGCTTCTCCTTTAGAAGCAGAACCTTCAGAAGAAACCATCAATTTCATCTTTTCTTTGGCATGCAACGCCTCAGAAACCTCATCAAGAGTTAGTGTATCATGACTATATAATAAAGTATCTCTGAAGTTTGAAAATGAACTAGGCAAAGAGCACAAAAGAATGAGAGCCAAATCCTCATCATCATAATCTACCTCCATAGACTGTAGATCAGAAACGATCTCCTTGAAGACCGAAAGATGGTTAATCACTGAACCACCCTCTTGCAACTTGTGCGTATATAACTTCATCTTCAAATGCAATTGCTTATCAAATCCTTAGACATGCAAAGTGACTCTAATTTGAGCCATAAAGCAGCTGCAGTGTTCTTCTGCAAACAATCTTGTAAAATATTATTTGAAAGATGAAGCTGAATTTGAGTCAGGGCCTTACGGTCTTTTCTTTTTTCCTCATCGGTCCAAGACTTTGAATCTTTGTTACCGAATTTATCAAGAGCATCATCAACTTCAGCCTGCGTAAGAACAGCCCGCATTTTGACTTGCCATAGAGCGAACCTTGTGTCGCGATCCAGTTGAGGAATATCATACTTGATTGAAGACATGGTGGAAAAAAAAACAATAACCAGAAGAATAATAATCTGTAGAAATTTAGGTGTAACCCTAGCAATAACCTGCAGCCTGGTACACTAGCTGTGTACAAATAGCAAAGAACTGCCAAAGAAAATCTCCTGGTTCGATTCACTTGTGCACGTAGCAGAAAACACCAACTTTTTCACTTCAAGAGAAACAACCGGCCAATAGCAACCAAATTTGATTTTGATTACCTTGATCCTCGTGCTCTGATTTGATCTTCGGAACAGCACCAATCCTCTACCTGGAAACAACAGCGCACACGCTCGCAAATAGAAGTAGCAGACCTACAGATCGGCACCTCCTGGAAACTCGGCGACACGTCCACACACCAACAGATCAGATCAGGACTGCCTTTTTGTTCTTGTACGCAGCGGACAGCAGTAGCCTTTTGGATGGAAATTTCACGAGGAGTCGGACTCTGATCCAGAACCTAGAACTCCGGCTTGGACGTGTGAGTCGCCGACTGATGGGAGGGAAGCAAATCGCGGATGGATTCCGAGACGACGCGACGACGGCCGCGGGATGAACAGGGAATAAAACCCTAGTTTTTTTTCAATCTCGTGTCTGGCTTTGGTACCACTTGTTAGTAAATAATGCAAATCAAGATCGAACACGAGACACAGATTTTTACGTGGAAAACCCTTGCGGGGAAAAAACCACGGGCGCCAACCGGCGATCTTCACTATATGGAGAGAGTTTACAGAACGCAGGGAATACAATGAGTCGTCAGCTCTTCCCATGCGGCTTACAAGATGTATTTATAGGACGGACGGACTGCAGTTAAATACGGAAACAAATCCGCTAATAAACATGACCAAACCATGGGCCCTCTAGGCGTCCCCACAAGACCAACGTTATAATTCGGATCATATTACAACAGATACATCTCGATGCGCTTCTAGCCCGTTAGCCCCGTATGCACAGCAGGCCAGCAGCACAGCACAGGTGTCGTGTTTATCGTTAATCTCTATCAAACTGAAGGCACGGCAAGTTTCTCATGTAATTGCACAGAGATCAAACAACGGAACGGACGTGCAGAAATTGCTGGAACGAGAGTCATCTGCTCGTCAACAGACAGCCCCTATTCTTGGCAAAGACATCTCAAAATTGGCAGGCCGACAGGCTAAAACTAACTGCTGGACGATTCTTGGATAGAAAACAACCAATTCAGGAGTGGACGCCAACCGAAGAACCAGAATTTAGCCTCCCGAAATTTTGCGTCCTCCTGTCTATAAATCCGCGGCTCGAAATACACGGGCCGGGCACTTTCCATCGAAAGCCCCGGCCTTTCTCGCTTTGCGGCATTGAATTTGCATGGCGACGATGAACGCCAGAGCGCTGTGCCTCGCCGTCGTCGCGATCGTCTTCTCCGTGCTCCCACGGCAGGCCCTCGCCGCCGGCGAGGGCTCCAAGGAGGCGGACAAGATCACCGCGCTGCCTGGCCAGCCGAAGGATGCGGTCGTGCAGCAGTATTCCGGCTACGTCAACCTCGACGACAAGGCCGGGAAGTCGCTCTTCTACTACTTCGTGGAGGCCACCGCTGATCCGGCGACGAAACCACTTCTTCTCTGGCTCAATGGAGGTAATTTTTTTGTTGTTGTTTTCATGTATGTATTTTCGTCTTTATGTTCCCCTTTCACTCTCCGAAAGTCTGAATGAGAGAAGATACCACTGTCCAGTGAAATCGATAGCATTGATCGCGTTTATTCACATCTATATATAAATTCAGACGCCAGGTAGATGATTATTTTCGGCCTCCCTGATTGATTTATCGTTTGCGATGTTCATACTGATGATTTGATACTAATGAATGGTGGAGTGCATTTCTGCAGGGCCTGGATGCTCTTCCTTCGGAATCGGAGCATTCCAAGAGATCGGCCCGTTCCGTGTGGACACGGACGGCAAGACCCTCTGCAATTTCAAATACGCCTGGAACACAGGTCACATCACATCTACTTATACAGAATGGAAAATGATTGCAATTATTATCGCTAAGTACTTGTAAAAATAAAATGTAATACGGTGCAGTGGCGAACGTGCTGTACCTGGAGAGCCCCGTGGGCGTGGGCTTCTCGTACGCCGCCAACACGGACGTGTACAAGGTGATGGGCGACAACATGACCGCGGACGACTCGCTGCAGTTCCTCCTCAAGTGGCTGGACCGCTTCCCGGAGTACAAGGGCCGCGACTTGTTCATCGTCGGCGAGAGCTACGCCGGGCACTACGTCCCCGAGCTCGCCGCCGCCATCCTCGCCGCCAAGAACGCCGCCATCAACCTCAAGGGGATCGCGGTGGGGAACGCGATCCTGGAGTTCGCGGCGGAGCAAGCCGCGCTGTACGAGTACCTGTGGCAGCACGCGTTCCTGTCGGACTCGGCGCACACGCTCATCGGCCAGCGCTGCAAGAACGCCGAGGACAACTCGCCGCTCTGCTCGGGGGCCAAGGACACGGCCTACAACCAGCTCGGCAACGTCGACGTCTACAACATCTATGCCAACACCTGCCATGACAAGAATAAAGTCAAGCCCACAGGATCCAATTGCATGGTATGTACACCATGCATATATATCTAGCTATCTGCTGATATGATGGCCGTTGCGTTCGTCGGTTCGTCCTCCTAGCTAGCAGCTCAAGCTAGGCCAGTGTTGAGGATCATTTTAATTTCGATCTCAAGCGCAGCTCCACGTATATTATATATATGTCTGCACTCTGCAGGACTTGGCTGATCCTTGTGCTCAATACTACGTGGAGGCGTACCTGAACCAGCCAGAGGTGCTGAAGGTCATCCGTGCCAACACAGGGCTCAAGTACAAATGGACTAGATGCAGGTATATATATGGCTCTAGTTACGTTGTCCTTCACCGCAATACAAGCTAGTGCTTCCGTTGACACGAAGAAATCGATTGAACCCTGTGGTGGACGGGATGGCACAGGCAAACGTTCTACAACCTGCTCAAATTCGGCGACTCGCCGACGAAATCGATGCTGCCGTACATCAAGGCCGTCGCCGCCGCCGGCGTCCGCGTGTGGGTCTTCAGGTCGGTCGATATGCCCCTGCCCCATGCATTCTCGTAGAGTTACATCTATCTCAAATCTCAACATGCATGCGCCATTGGTGTTTGGTTAGCTAAACAATATAATGCGAATGTCACCTGCAGTGGCGACCTGGACGCGATGGTTCCTGTGATCGCGACGAAGCAGTCCATGGAGAAGCTCGGCCTCGGCGTCGTGGCGGACTGGCGCCCCTGGTCCATCGACAGCAAGGACCCGGAGGTAAGCATGCATGCATATATGCAGTTGCCCGCCTTTGCATGCCCTTTGGCGGTGGCATCCTGAATGAACTCGATCTAGAATGCGTGTGATGGCTGAGATCGAGCCCGTGACGGCGGTGACGATGATATATTGTCCATGTATGCATCATGGCAGGTCGCCGGGTACGTGATCGAGTACAAGGGCGTGGTGTTCGCGACGGTGCGCGGGTCCGGGCACATGGTGCCCATCGACCGCCCGGACCGCGGCCTCGCGCTCTTCTCGTCCTTCATCAAGGGGGAGCCGCTCCCCAAGGCCGCGCCGATGGTCGACGGGTGAAGAGGCACGGCAGACGGCACGCGAGAGCCAGCCACCCGCGACCGTGCCCCGGCGGGATTCAATTCGCTGCTCATGTTCAAGGAGCCACGGTCGTTGGGACTTCATTCTTGCGCGGCGTTTCATTTCAGTCTTCTCTCGTACTAATCCATATACTGTTTCCGTTTCCACGTCAATTTAACTACCAGACCGTGCTGACTAACTAAGCTCTGTGACCTCAACTGTTGTATGAATGTTTCGGTGCCGTCAACTAATTTTTGAGCATGCACAGTGTCGTCGACTAATTAAGGGTATGACTACGTTTGGAGGGTTCATGGAGCTAGAGCCGCTAAGCCAGTGCAGTACAGATTTTCTATCTTTATCGGCTTCTAGTTCTTTTTGTGAAGGGATAGAAAAACGGGTCCCTACTGCACGGCACTAGATTCATCAGAGTCGTTTTGGAAGTACTCCGTAGCAGCCTTTCTAAATAGGGCATAAATAAATTGTCTCATGCGTTGACGCTACACCGAGACGTCGCCTCCCCCGAGTCACTAGTTTGGGGATTGGTTTGCAATACACAGATGCGGTGCGGTCAGAGCAGGCCGTAGCATTGGTCCATAGCTCAGTGCCGGTTTAGTTCCTAAAATTTTGTAAAATTTTTTAAGATTTTCCATCACATCGAATCTTTGGACGCATGCATAAAGCATTAAATATAAATAAAAAATAAAACTAATTATATAATTTAGACGAAATTCACGAGACGAATCTTTTAAGCCTAATTAAACTATGATTGGACACTGATTGCCAAATAACAACGAAAGTGCTACAGTACCATTTTCCATAAAATTTCGCCAACTATACAAGGCCTTACCAAGAAAAGAGAAGCTACTCGTGGTTGTCTTAGGGCCTCCGCAATGGAGGGGTAAGAAGGGGTAGTACGACCTTACTACTGGTAAGATACATTTTAAAGAAGAAAAAGAAACATGTAGTAGCACCATCCGGTAGTAGCACTACTGCCCGGTAACAAAGAACGAAAAATTCATATTGGCGTTGTTCGCTGGTCTCACAAAACCAGACCAGCCGGCTGGTTGCTCTCACAAAATACTGTTCATCAACCTGCCGCTACAGTGTTTCTCTCTCACAAAACCAGCCAGTTTCAGACCAGCGAACGGGGCCATTCTCTCACTCACCCTCGCTTCTGCCATGCTGTCGGCGCACCATGCCTGCCATCGTCAGCTCCTTGTCCCCACCGTATCACCAGATGGACATTGTGCGGGTGGTTTGATGCTTACTGTCGCCTGCTCCTTGGCCCCACCTTATTATCGACCTCGACAATATACATTGCGCCTGCCCTTAGGAACAAATTAAAGTATTACCACAACTAATTTAATTCTGGCTTTCAACTATTAATCTAATCACCAAGATTTGGATTGCCACTTAGTTTCTAGCTCTAGGAAACTAGACTTAGATTAAGCACTACATACAATGCATCACACATTTGGATGTAATATGTTCCCATGAAAGATTAACACAAATAACCAATAACAAGATGCATTTAGTTTGTCATCTAAGGTCATACTTGATTGAGTTCAATTTCTCCGGTTCACAACAAAAAAATAACACCATAGGCCATAGCCCTTGAGAGAAAAGCAAACAAGATGTTGAGAAGAAATGTTCTTATATTGTATTGTAATAATTTTCTAAACCATGCATCTATTGAACGATTGACAATATCATAGGTCACCAAAAGAATCAGAGTCGTCGCTATCCACTAGAGTGATGGCCTGAACCCAATTGATCTTCTAAATCATTAAAATAATAAACTAATCAGGTGTTTCCTGAACAACATAAGTGGAAATATAAAGTAATGGTTTCGGGGTGTTAGGAGGGGACTAATGGGATCTATGGATGTTCCCTTTATGTTGAATTGTATAAGTGACCCATGTTTCAGCATTCAAAATAGTGGCATGAGCATACTAGTATCATCGTCTGGAGCTGAACCGTCAATAGACGTAGCATGAACATATTTGCTTTTGGCACATTTATGGCCAAATTGATTGGGTTCCTTACCAAAGTAGCATTTTTTGGGTTATGAAGAATTATTATCTTTGGAAATAGAAGAACTTGCAATATGAGGTATCTAATTGGAAAACTATATTGAAAGTTGTGAGGAGCGAGTGGCCTCAGAGAGGCGGGGTTGAGTCTGGGCTCTACGGATTAATTACAAACAACATTGGACTATGAAAAAAACTAACCCCCTTTAGCACTTTGACTCCTAAGTTTTTTTCTACAAAGTCCTTAGATCCACTGGTATAAGCATATCTTTAACAATGATTCACGCTAAGAGTAAGGCCCTTAGTTTTCCAAGTATGAAACCCATGCTAAGCACACTAGCAATTCAATCCTAGTTATCACTTAAGAAACTCGCTCTCAACAAGAGTAGGTTGTAGGGTTTTAATTACGTCCGACAAGTGGCCGGTGCTTCACACATTGAGAACCAGAGGAATAGCACACAAGACAAGGGTTTATACTTTATACTACTTCAACTATAGGATATCCTACGTCTAGTGGAGAACAACTTATATATATGTTGTGTGTCGAGAGCGCGGGTGATGACGATGCGAGGTTGTATGGCAATCAACCGATATGTTGATCAGGGGCCTCTACCCCTCCTTATATAGCTCCAGAGGTAGAGTTTACATCGGGTAACCTTAATCATATCCTATAATTTTCTAGTTTGTTTTAGGGAATAAAAGTCAGATCTCTCTTACAAATTGTTTGGCTTCTAAGTATATATAGTTGATGCCTTGTATGTCGAGTCATTGAGGTACCCCCTCCGGGTTGGGCTTTTCCGAGTAACTACCTTGGTCCACCACGTACCGGTTGAGTGTTTTGCCTTCTAGTGAGGGTACCTGTGGCCCATAGGGACGACACTAGCCCTTGAGATCATCGTGAGGAGTCAGTCGGTTGTCCTGTCCACGAATCTCACTCGCCATCAACATAGTCTTCAACCTCTTGAGTTGTGCTCTCCATGAAAACCTAATAAATATAGGGACGTGGAGTCCCAAAGAATCCATATTGCCTCATCTTCTGTGCAATCTTCATTTCAGCCGGGATGTCGGAGCAAGTGGACCACCCGCCATCGGATCCACCTACCACCTCCGACAAAGTATTTAAAAGGCGTCCCTTATGTGGCCTTTCCCCTGACAAGCCATAGCAGATATTTTTACATGCTCAGATCATAGTCGAGTGAGCTCATAGAATGCCCACCATGGTTTCTCCTCCTAGGGTCCCAAGAGTCTGGCGCCTATTCTGAGAGAATGCGCTACACATGAGCCTTCCGAGATGCCTTTGAGTAGGGGTGCTTCGTGCCCGAGGTACCAGGAGAATGCTCATAAAATATGGAAGCTGAGAGTTTCTGCCACCACCATGGATAGTTCCCCTATGTTTCGTTGTTGCATGGGCTACCTCCTTGGTTCCACAGGTGCCCAAGAGTTATCGAGGGCATTGGTCCGCCTGAATCTTGGAATTCACCCTCCCTTTTGTGGAGCAGAGGAGGGCACACGCTGGTAGATATCAGAAGAAGACTCGTAATGCCCCTCCCTCGAGTTTTGTCATTCCTGTGTTCCTCAGTGATCTGGCAGAGCCATAAATGATGTAGAGAGTGGATTGTGTACTCCGATTTCCAAGAATCTTGTATAAGCAAACTCTTCTGCAGGTGTACTCGTAGTGATAGCCTATATGTTAGCTACACGGAGCGTGCTGAGGAAGGGCCTTCTCAAGCACCACAATCCACACTAAACACACGTCTTGCCTTGTAACACCCTCAGTGTTACACTCTAAATCATTTACTAAGACATGTCATGAGCATCATATTTATGTGTTAGTGCATGTGATGGAGTGCATAGATGAAGCATTGCAATTAAAACGATCAATAAAAGTGTTAAACAAAAAGTTACTCCATAACTCATACAGTTAACAAGTAGGGTTGTAAACCAATTTTTATTGAGCAAAAACACTATAGAACACACATGTGACACTTAAATGAAGTTTGAAATATGAACTTTGTAGATGACAGTGAAATACTTGCTGTAGAAAAATAACATTGCTAGCCAACATTTCTAATAGCTTAGAAATTGTAACTTGGAATCAAATTTAGCTCATAGACTTAGAAGATTTTTAAGTGTATAGACAGCTAGACAATGCCATGTTTGGCAATTTATTTTGCGAAATCAGGTTAAGAAAAGGTGTTATGTTTTAGCTCGGGTTGGTAGCCTCATATGCCATATTAAGCATGGTGACGATGGTTTAGGTCCAGAAGCAACGGTTTAGTTGTTATGGGTGCTTTTAAAATTCACTACACCACAACACCGCTTCACCGTTAGACATCTGACGCTAAAAATTATATTTGGCAATGGATGATCTGACGCTAAAGATAACTCAGAGACCATCTGACGCTAAATCATCATTTAGCGATTTGTTGTCTGTCGCTATAGATGTTCATGTTTAGCGTTAGCCCGTCTATCGCTAAAACTAGATATAGCGTTGATCTGTCTGATGCTAAAAAAATAGGCCCCACCTAACTCGGGCGCGCCACTTACATTGAGCTCCCGCGCCCAGCTTACATCGACCTCGCGGGCATATTTTAGCCAGCCCCTGTGTATAGTGAAAACCCTAGATCCACCGCCAGCCGCCCTCTCCTTCTCTTCCCCCACGCACGCCTCCCACTCGCACGCCCGCCACCCTCTCCCTCTCTTCCCTCTTCCCCTACGCACGCCCGTCGCCCTCTCCCTCTCTTCCCTCTTCCCCCACACACGCCGCCCTCTCCCTCTCTTCCCCCACGCACGTCGTCGCCCTCTCCCTCTCTTCCTCTCTTCCCCCACGCACGCCGCCCTCCTCTCCTAAGGCCGGATCCACGCCGGGGTGACCTCCCTTCAACTTCCTCGGCCGGATCCACGCAGTGCGGGCTGCCCTTCTCTCTCCCCGACTGGATCTGCGGCGTGCCCTTCTCTCTCCCCTTCCAT